AAAATCTCCCGTACTGTAAATTGGCCTCCATTTTATTGGTCGAAAGACCAGCAATATTGCTTTACATATTAATAAAAAGTCGGTTAATTTTAAAAAGATCTAATAGATGTTAATTCTTATATAATTCTAAACCTTCTTCTACATCTTAATTTAGGCTGCATTACTTATATATAATTAGGAGAAGACAAGGAGAAACATTAGACTTTCAACGCAAGAGCTTGATTTGCTTCGCACTGAAAGCGTTTCTAGCGTCTGAAACTTGGATGTGATAGGGATGGTAAGCAAAAAAATTTTTGACCAAACGAACTTCTTAGAAAGACGAAAGCTGCGTAAATTTTGAAAATTCATTTAATTAAAATCGACCCATAAGCCATTGCGGCCCAGAAGAATCCTTTAAATGAATCGCAAACAAAGCACGAAGGATGACTGGCGGAGACCACAAAGTGCTCGAAGCATGATTGAGTTAAAACTCTTGAACAGTCTAGACTCATGGCAAATCTTTAACGTTGCAATTCTGATCTTTGCAGATATATTAAATGAAAACTTTAATGCTTACATCATCCTGCTATATGCATCGTTAGCCCTCGAATCAATAAATAGTTACGCGTGTAGCGCTGTATGGAGAACCAATTTGTGTAGAAACGCCCCATTTGGATTATTGCAATGTCAGTAGAGTGATCTTCAGACAATAGAAATTTTAATAAACACCTTTCAATTTACTAACAACAGTACAAATAGTTAATTATTAAAATTGCGAAATAATTACATTGTGAAATAATAAGAAATTTGGGTAATCGTGTAATATTTAGCATATAAAGCAATTCATTCAATTCACTCATTTTTATTTATATTTTTCAGTTCAATTATCAAAAGAATAAAAATACCAAATAACTGTTTTACATACATACACGCAGACGCAACCAGTCATTATCTACTATATATACACTATCGCTCTAAATTCTACTCACTTGTGCGCATACCATCTCTAACTGCACTAAGTGTAAAGTTCGCCCATCACTAATTTTTACTCAAAAATAAATTAAACTATTAAGTGCTTGCAAAAATTTTGATCAGCGACTTGTACACTTGTACTTGTGTATAAATGGTAAAGAAATGGGAAATACCAGTATACATAAGGCTTGAATTCGAATGTATGCCGACACTAATCATGAGTCGCGCATAATTTTTCTTCTTTTAAATTAATTATTTTTGTGGTTTATTTGAAGAAATCGGCTGCCGAAGCCCACCAAACATGTTGAGAGACTTATGGTGATGCGGCTCCACCATATTCCAATTGTCGGTTTTGAATTCAACGGTTTAAAAATGGCGACACGAATTGATAGTGTTGATGACTATATATCGGGCATCATTATCATTTGATTGTCCCAAACGAACACGTGCTTAGAAGATGACATTTCAGCTTACATTTTTTGTGAAGATAGTTTTCTAATTCTTTCTTTTTATAAAAATTATATAGATTTGAAAATGATTGAAATATATGAGGAAATGCGCTACATAACGCTTTTTTACCAAAAAGGAAAAAAATGATGAAGTGCAGGGTGAGAAGGCTGTTAGTGAGAGAGAATTTCGATATCAAATAGCGGTGGCACTAAACTTCAACCACATGACAGCACGCTGCAAAAAGAAGCTAGAAAAGGGGGCTAGAGCGGAGACTTTTCAATATTACTCATTATATTGCACAAAGTTAGTTTTTACATATTCACAGAAGCTCTCTACCAATTCTTCTTTGCACATCGTACCCCACTTTTTATCGCCGAATATTGCTTGTATACCATCTTTAATTTTTCTGAGTATTGCCATCACTAATATTTTAATGGAAAATAAATTAAAATATATTCACAAACGTTGAATGAAAAATGTCTTTGGATTTACGGAATCAATGTCGAACATGCCTTAAGACTGATATTAAATTGCAGAAGTTGACTGCTATGATTGACGGAAAGGCTGCAACAACGTACAAGGATGCGTTAAAGACTCTGGCAAACTTCTTGGTAAGTTGCAAATGTAAATATTGCAGAAGATGTCTTGTGTCATACGGATAACCGTTTTTTTATTAAAGTTTAAAGCTGAATATGAAGACGAAATGCCGCAAAGGATATGCGATGGTTGTTGCCGTAAACTGCGGTCGGCCCAAAATTTCATTATTCAAGCAGAGGAAGCTAACGACAAGTTAATACGAATTCTAAAGGATATACAGCAGATGCCTTCCCTAAAGCAATTGGATTGCTTGAATGAAAATCCCATTGAATTGTCCAGCACTGTTGAGCAATGTCTGCAAATCAAAATGGAAGTAGAAAATTTTGAGAGCGCGGCAAAAGATTTAGAACAAATTGACAATTTGATTGATAATATTGCAATTAAAAATGAGCAACAATTTGATGGCGAAAATCAATTATTAAAAAGCGTTGACAAGGATGCTGAAGCTAATTACCAAAGTTCGGCGGAATCGATTGCTCAAAATGAGAGGTATGCAGCTTATCCTTTTTGTCAGGTTCATCTCATCGCATATATATACATACATGCACGCACAAAAATATACAAAGTGTACATATAAAGATGTGATCAAGAAGTAAGGTGAATTTGTACATAAAATGAGCCATTTTTCATAGCTTTCATAACACTGTAATAATATTCCAATTATAGTGTCAATGTTAACTTTGTAACACCCACCCATCTTAAGGGTAAGAGTAAGAGGCCTCTATATCCTTTCTGAAAAACTTGAATTCTATCCTAAAAATTGCTTTGAAATGTAAGTCCTTGGCGGTTTAGCAGGAAATGACATGTCCAGTAACATGTAGTAGCTGGATCGGCTTTGCAAGATCAAAATTTTGTTGGAATTATTTTTTAGTTTGATTTACTTATCACTCATAACACATCTAGTTTCTTGAGCTGCATCCAATAGTTTATATAAAATTTGCCATTTTTTCTCTATGTAGATCAGTCAAAAAAAGAACCCTCTCAATCAGCATGTGTTCGAGATCCCATGACATGTTAGATAATTTATATGCCGATTCAATATCATCTTTAATGGGTAATTGGTGTGGATAGCATTTAAGCGTAAGAGCTTATGGCTACGCTTCAGAAATACAGCTTGATGTTGGAAACCTTCGCTTGAAATATTCTTTCCAATACGAATTTTTTAACATGAAACTCTATAAGAATGTCAAAGACAGCACTACTATCAACACACAAAAAGAATCGTTTTATCATTTCATTATCATATCTTAGTATTCGTAGTATCAGGTTTAAACGAGACGTTAATTTTACTTTTTGTCGACAATCATATGTATATATATATATATATTGAATTGGAATTTTCAAAACTAATGGGGCTTAAGACCAAGGATAAAAGTAACACAAGTAACCATTAACGGGCCCATGCATTTTGACGGAATACTCTAGACTTTTACCAGAAAACTGATTCAACTGATTTGATTTTAGGCGCTAAAGTTTATTGTACATTGGCTGTAAATTATTCCTAGTAATAATAACTGTATATATATGTAGGTCATGGGATGTTTTGTAACCTGTCAACTGGCCGATCAATATGCTTTTTCGCTACTTAAAATGAGTTTTGAACTGATCACGCTAATGTTTATGATGTGTATGGGAAAGGAAGGCAAAGAAAGATAAGTAATATGACTTTGTATTACTCCCGACGCTTTCGGGATATGGGCTGCGAAGGAAACCAAACATGCTTATCAAGTCCAAAAATTTAGAATATCATCTTCATCAGAATTGAATATGTTCACAAGAGCGATATGCTCCCATTATAAATAATAGCCATTCATTTTGAATAATGAGTACCAAGAAATCGTCCTGGCCCCAGTTTCCTAATGCCTAAACGACTTTGTAGCATATCATGCATCAATTCAAATTCGAAACCTTGTGCGAAAAGACATTTTTGGTCTTAAGTTTCTGTTTCGTAATCTAATCTATAATTTCCTTTAATTTGATTTTTTCTAATTAATTTTTCAAAATATAACGTTTTTCAGTAAAGATGACACGGAATCTTCAGTTGATGAATTTGAAGATGAGTATAAACCAGAAAATGCTAAAAGTGATAATAAAACCAAACGTAATAAACAGAGAAAACTAAAAAAGATGAGCAAATATAAGCTGGATGAAGATGATTTGTTACCAGTGCGTTGTGAAGAGTGCGGCAAAGTTTTAGAAAATTCTCTAATACTTGCCCGACATAAACGTAGCACACATTTACCGGATGAGCTAAAAATACCTTGTCCCAATTGTGGACGAAGGTTTAGCAGACGTTGCAACATGTACGCACATATGCGCACTTTTCACGGTCAGGAGTCAGTCGATGTTTTATTGAAAAATTCCAATACAATACAATATCGATATAAATGTGATAAATGTTCGTGTAAATATACAAACAAATATAAACTTCAGGCTCACGTTAAAAGTAAACACAGCAGCAAAACAGATGAAAACAATGAAATGAAAAGTAACTCGGGTCCAGTTGCGAACGAGGAAGGACATCAGAAATCAAAAAAGATTTACAATTACGATAAAAAGTTTCTATGTACAATTTGCGGTCTGCCCTGTCAAAGTCAATCGGCATTAACTATACATGTGCGTCGTCATACTGGAGAAAAACCATTCAAATGCGATCTGTGCGATAGAGCCTATGCTAGATTGTATGACGTGCAAATTCATCGTCGCAGCCATACCGGAGAAAAACCGTATAAGTGCACCGTTTGCGAAAAGGCATTCAAACGTTCGAATAAATTAAAAATACATATGCGCACGCACACAAACGAACGTCCATACAAATGCCCTCATTGTGAACGTAGTTTTAAGCAATCAAAAGATCTAAATATTCATATACGCACTCATACGGGAGAGCGACCGTATAAATGTAATGTATGTCAAAATACATTCACCCAAAGTAATTCCTTAAAGGCGCATCGCACGAAATACGGACACATTGAAGCGAATACCGAAGAAAACATTCCAAGAGCATATAACACAATTTTAACAACTTAGTGTAAGCGAGACAGAGCGAATTAATTTTTCCGAATTGTCTGTAAGCAAGCTATTGTTTTCTTAATAGTAGTGAACTTGAAATCATTTCTATTGACAATTGATATATATAATATATATATATATATACTGTTATGTATAGTTTTTCAAAATCTATTCGAAATAAGTTGCTTGTTATTTGCCATTCATTTGTATTGAAAATGTGATTTTTTCATCATTGCATTGACTGTTCACTTGTCAGTTAAGAGCTTTTAAATAACATTAAACTTATTCTTATTATATCGACTAACATGAAAAGAAGAATTAGTTCATAGCATTGTCGTCATTATTCTGATTTTGAAACGATTAAATAGAAAAATATGCAAATAAGGAGCATAGAGCATTCTTCGATCAATTTGGGTCTTGCAGTCGATCTAAATCAATTCATATAAAAAATGTTCATAAATAAAATGGGCTAAAGAAATAGATTTGCTCCATGGAATAGGACCATAACATATGTGACGTTTCTGTAGTAAACTTTTTCGGCCTTTCAAGCATTGCTGATTTTATCGAGCCGCCATACTAGCGCCCATGAAATTTTTGAAGAGTTTAAGGTTTTTTTCAATATCGTTGGTCTTGCTGGTTATTTTCCTATCAGGACGGTTCGTCAAATGACGAAAAAGCATCGAACAATGCTCTAAGCTAATTAAAGAGAGTACAGCGTTTCTCAATGGAAAGCTTGATTCCATTTCTTCAAATGAGACTTCAGTCGTCAAAAGCTTTTTGTTATCCTAGAACATCGTTTGATTTACTTTGGTCTATTGATTAGTCTCATGTCAATCAAACACCTTAGGTGCGAGGTTCCGTAATAGCGGCACAATTAAGGCTTAAGACCAAAGAAAATCATTTTCAAGTTTTCATAAGAATTTCTCTTAACGAACAGTTTCTTCCTTCCTCTTCTCATTTTTTTTTGACTGTATTCTGGAAACGCAGCTCTAGTACAGGGATCATAGACTTTGTTGTTTCTTGCAATGCGCACAGTATGCTCCTAACATAGTAACTTTGCGGTCATTTATATTTGATTTAAAAATTACTATGTTTTATAAAAGCAAAAAATGGAATTATTTTCTTGGCCAGGCTTGTGAGGTATGTTCACGGATCATAAACCTCTTACTGAATGAAAAATTGTATTGGTAAACGCAGAGTTCTGCGACATTTTCATGTCAAATGGTGGCAAATAATTTCTATTATGTATTTCACTTATTATCCTTCTGGAAGAGCGGCACAACGTTTCTCTCATGTATACCGTATTTTTCGGACTATAAGACGCCGTTGAAATTAGTTTAGAAAAATATATTTTAATATTACTTTTGAATCAAAATTTTTATTTATTTTTATTTTATTTTTAATTTATTTATTTTTTATTTTATTTACTTTTATTTTATTAATTTTTTATTTATTGTTTACATAACTCATATTAGCAATATTTAGTTCGTATTACTTTCATCTGAACTATTGTTGTCGTACCTCATGTACCTCAATCTTAGAGACAATTTATTGAAAAAATATTTCAATGCTACCTTGAGACTATACCACGCGCCCAAAATTTGAGTAAATTTTTTTATATCAAAAGGTCTGTCTCTTATAGTCCGAAAAATACGGTACATATTTCGTTAACGTATGTCGAGCTCTGTTATGCAACAATATTTTGACCTTGAGGCTTCCCTTCCCTTATACTTTTTGCTCTGAAATAATATTTCGCTATGAATGTTTTTATAAGAGTTTGAGTATAATTTTTGCATAGCATAAGGAATTCTCTCCTTCCGATAGCACGCCTTGCTTTCGTCGATACTACATACCATTAAAACACTTTTTTACGTGCGTAAATGTTTATCTTGTTTTTTTGTTTTTCTTTTTTTTTTTTTTTTTTTTTCCTTAAATAAAATTTATGTTTAATACTAAGCACATTTGGTAGCTTATAAAGTTACGTAAAAATATTTAAGATGTTTGAAGATTTGTATAATCTTTTATTTTTATTTTTTATTTTTTTTTTTTTTGTTACGCTGCTATGTCTGCTCTCATGGTAATTAATTTAAAGGATGAAGTAAAATTAAATCATTTTTTTTGTAAACATTTTTTCCAAGAGTGAAAAAAAGCAATTAATTTAACGATTATGTAATTAAATAATTTTGTTGTGTTGAAAAACGGTTTATGTACCTAAAACTATGTATCAGTAATAGTTGAACACATTTTCAAGAGAGTATTATTATTTTTGTATTTAAGTTTGTGTGAAAAAGTATTAAATAAAATTTTGAAATAAAAAAAAACAAATTGATTTTGAAACCATTCATGATGCAGTCCCTATATATTTTCTATGGTTTTATTTTAGTTGCATGCATCCTTTGTACATATATTTAAATCAAAACGGAAGCGGGAGGTATTAGTCTTAGTTGGAGTTTTACTCTTCGCAGCATTTGATGAATTGACTGTTTCTGCATTTGTATTGCATTTGGGAAGTTCCTGATTAGGCGGAGAAGCATTGGGTCCTGCTATTGATGTTAATGAAGTGACAACCGAATTCGCCATTGCTTCTTGTAGTTCACGTTCCCATTCAGTTTCCTTTCGTTCCATATCTTTTCGTTTCAGTTCCTTGAAACGATTGTACGCAATATACTCTTTAATCCAAACGCGTTCAGGATCACTGTCCTTTTGTGCGGATCGTTGTTTAGCCAAACGTTTTTTCTTTTTATGTAATGGGCGGGTTTCGATAATCATTTCTTCCAGTTCGAGGCATGGATCACAATTAAGATGATCTTCAGGCGGTTTAAATGATGGTTTTATCTGTTTCGTTAATACCTTACTAAAATCGATATGTCGCAATAAAGGCGTTTGTTGCAACTCGTGTTGCGAACTCATACGAGCTCCTGGATGTACGCATAGCAGCTAAAGTGCAAAAAAAAACAAAATCACACAACTATAACGCGTCTATTCGCGCAATGTCAATTCAATGCAACATCACCTTGGAGAGTAAATCGACAAAATCGAGACTCCAATATCTGGGATAATACACGGGCGTGTATAATATATTTTTAACTTCTACCATAGCCGTATTCGAGTGTATAGGAAATGGTCGTATATTGGCACGCATTTCATAAGCTACGACGCCAAGTGACCACCAATCGACAGGAAAAGTGTAACCCGCTGCAATAATCAATCACTAGATATATATTCAGAATTCATCATCTTGTATATATGTGCACACAATTACCAAGTTCGTCTAGAGCACACATGAAAACCTCAGGTGCCATATATGGCTTCGTACCCGACATACTGCACGCTAGGCCATCTTTTGCCAAACGCGTTGCTATATTAAAATCGGTTAAATGTGCATGACCTATATTTTTAGCAAAATCAAAAGAATATATGTCTGGATTAGATGCGAACTTATAGCCACTACATAAAAGGCTAGCCACAGACACAAGGCAACAAAAAATTTTGACAATCGACTTAGCAGCTTTAAAGACTTGATATAAAAACTTTCAACTTAGCGAATTTAGCGAATCCAAAAGGGAAGAGAAGTTAAGATTTTCACCAAATATATGAAATAGATTAGATGGAAGCCTGAACGATTATGTCTCTGTCTGCCTATTGAACTCTACCACTGATCCCGCCCGCAATAGAAGAAAAAGTAGACTTTCCATGTTTAGAAAATAAATTCCTACTTTATTATTTTTTTTTTAATAGGGGGCGTAGCTCGTCTGCGGAAAATTTGCCAATAAATAGAAGTTTTCAAACTGATCGGGGTGAAGGACAAAGATCGCCTAGGTGCATCGAGAAACTTGAAGATGCTGAATCGCAAACAAGATTGGATGAAACCATCAATGCAAAGCCTGTGGAGGAATAACAACAGTCCGCATCGAGCCACGTGTTAGTAAAAAAAAAAAGAATGACCATAAAATACCAAAAGACATGACCAGGGTCGGTGATGAAATATTAAAAGTACTGAAATGGAATGTTCAGCGGACTTCCCCTCTTCTTGTTCGCATCGGTTCAACAGATGGCTTAATTGAATCCTCTGAGGGCCTTTTTGTAGATAGCTTTCAAAGCTCAGATTTCTCGAAAAAATATGTAGTTGGCAATGGACAATAATGACATAATTGAAACTTCAATGAAAAAAGTGAAAGAAACGAAACTAATGAAAAATCATAGCGTATAGGCTATGATAGATATTGATCTACAAGTTGATGTGAATTAGTCCTAGGATCAGCTAAAACGCTACTGCGACAATGGACTTGGTTGACACAATCACGATTAGAAAAATCTTAGCAATATTCATGTTACGGCATAGTTTGGTGAATAAGAAGAAGCGCAGTTATCAAGTCAGCGCCGTACTCTATTTAAGATAAGCGTAGCGATAACCTACAGTATGTTCGATACATTTTTATTGTTGTATCTATTGTAGTTTCTGAGTGATGACGAACCCATTTTTTCAACGCCAACATATCTACGCCCGCTTTCGATTGTCTTATCTTTTATGTCGGGCAGAATGTTTAACTCGCACATTTACGCAGACAAACACGCGTACGAACAAAGCTGCTTAAGTCGAGTGATCATTTTGTAGCATCTTTGTAGTTTCCTTTTTCGCTTTGGATACGTGTTCACAATAAAACTTGCTTATCCTCGGGAGATGAAAATTTGAAGCCATACCCACTCTATAATTATACACTTGTATTATACTTAGTATATTTATTTTCGTAAGAGGTGATTGTCACCTTGTGTGTGCAATAAAAATAAATTGAAGATATTTTCTCTAAATTTATTATAAAAGAAATGAAAGATTTTCTAAGGTTCCATATGGAAGCACCTAAAGAAAACCTAAGGGACATAAGAGATTTTTTTAGATTTGTTTGAAATCAAAATGGAACTCCGAGAGCTTTGCGAAAAGTCTTATCCCCTTTTAAAATTTCGAAAATTGATTTACAAAAAAAAAATGTTTTTTTGGCGCTGGAGAATCGAGTATAGGTTCGATAATTGTCTTTGAAGCCGATGCATATATATATATATACATCTATATATGTGGATGGGTCCACCAGCGGTTAAAAGATTTACAATCAGAACAACAGTAATGTTTACTATCTTATAACGCCTTTGCGCTGAAAAAGTGTTTATAGCACTTTAGCCCATTGGGTACACAATCGCTTTCTTATCCTGGACTAGTAAGCATGGACTGTCGAAATGTATATTTATAAAGGAATAAAAATTTTTGCCGAACGTCTTTACATTCAATGTACTCACCACAGCTATCCAGTAAAATGTTATCCGGTTTAACGTCTCTGCAAAATTTAAGATAAGATTTTGTCTTTGACATTGAAATTTTTTTTTTACTCAGAAGATTTTTGTGTAAAATTTCAATTACAATTGTAATCCTTATACTATAGAGCAAGGGACATGGACAAAGAATGCGGTTTCCGAAATCATTTTCAATTTCAAATTTGTTTGCAAAAAATAATTTTTATGAGGATAAACACAATTTTCAGTCTAAAGCGGAAAGAGGTCTCCACTTTCCGGCCAAGTTTTCCCAAAAAAAAAAAAAAAAAACCAAGTTCTCACTTCTCATCGGGAAGAGAACGTTACGTTACCATAGGCTAATTTGAGCCTGCCGTTGCTATATAGTATAGTAATAAATAGTTTTATAATGCATGACGAAAATCAATTTACTTAAAACGAAATCTATATACAGTGCTTTTCATTTAATGTCTTACTATAGCTTTCGTTAGTTGGGCGAATTTCAGTTGCATGGTATAAAAGTCGCCTAAAAATTGACTGGCAATGTGTTAGAGCTTTAAAAAGGCGTGACGATAAATATGAGTTTAACTAGCAAAGACACCTACCATCTCCCTTGGCAGAGTTTATCAGTTGAAGGGAGGAGTTACTTAGGATTAATTGAGGCTGCACTTGGAAACCTTCTCTGCTCAAATTAAGAAACGCACGATACCTTTGAAACAAGGTAAATGAATTCAAATTTGACTTTCCAACGAACTACGTTTACCAAGTTTTTGGAATTTTTGGGCATTTTGCTATATGTCGACTACGGGAATATAATCAAAATCGAGATGTTGGGAAGATATTCATTACAGATATTTATGCAGGTGGACGGACAGATTTGCCAGTGGCGTTTCGCAAATCGATAATCAAGAATAGTAAAGTGATTTTAAAGCTTCTTGCTGCCTATTGTTAACGATTTGATGTTACGACCATACCTCCATCCTTTAATGGTGGGAGTAATAAACGAATTGATTTTTGGTAGAAAAAACTTTTTGTTTTATGAAAATTGCTGGGAAAAATCCTCCATAAAATCAATTACAAAGTCCTGCTTGGTTCACTAAACAATATTACGCTCCGGTTAAAGCTTGAAATTAAGCCTCTTCGATATCATTCTTGATTATTCAAAAGATCATTTAAGAGAATCAAAGAATTGTTGAAAAAAATTTATGTCATTTCTGAACATAGTCTTGTTAAGTGACAGAGTATGAAGAGCACTGTATATTATGGAAATAACTTTTAGTTTGAAATTTTGAAAATTTACCTATGAACTACCCGTTGATTTTGCAAATAGTCTAAAGCACTACCCAGTTCGCAAACTAATAAAGCCACACTTTCTTCGGAAAACTCCACCTGTGTAATGTGAATAAAATGCATGAAAACGATGTTACAGCAAACGCACTTACTTACATACATATAAATATATATATATATATATATATATATATATGTATATGCATGAACACATCATAGCCATAGCAAAGTTATATTAAAAATATGCATAAATGTTAAGTAGATTCAAGTGTTTGTGTATTACGTAGTAGTGAATAAGCCCAAGAGTAAAATAAACATTTTTCTTAAATATTTTATATTGGGTAGTCCAAAACGCATTATGTCCTAAGGCATTAAAGTCTCATATATACGCACATACGCATATATATATATATATATATGCCATATTTAATTTAAAGAAAAATTTAAAAATTTATTTTCGCCTTTAGTTCTGATGCTTTTAAGACTACTACGTATTAATGCTTTGTTGTTTCAACAAAAGAGAAATGAAAAAAAACAAGCATCTGATGGAAAGAAGAAGATAAAAAGGGGGAAAAAAAATTCACAAGCATTTTTTGTATATCGTGTATATGTTCTAGTAAAACTACAACAAAGCTTTAATAAATTTAATCCTATTAGCAAATACTTACCCGATTTTGTAAATGGTATCGTAAATCACCACCTGTTAGTAAATCGCATACCATAAATAAGTCCTCTTCATCTGTATAGCACAAAATTTTACAAGCATATAAAAAATTGCCCTCTTAATTGAACTTGTGTTATGAAAGTTTTCAAAATGTCATAGGAAATCAGTGAAGATTGAAACTAATCGAGTACCGATCTTTTATTTAAACTTATTATCAAGAACACGAACCCGTTCGATCTAGACGGATTGAAATGATTTTGAATCGAACAAGAAGAAGATGGTTCTCACATAGGAATAGTTTGGTTGAAATGTTTTCACGGGATCGAAACTTATTCGATTATTTTCGACCGACATGCAGGTGGGTAGATTACACCTATTTCTTAACCTTTAATCGATCAAAGAATGTGTGTCTCAATCTTCTTGTTTTGGCGATTACGTTCTTTCCATAAGGCGAACCGATCTGATTGATTCTTTTTGCTAGAAATATATGTATATGTCGTGGGTATTTTGAAAGCTAGAGCCAGTTAGAGAAAGTGTAACGACTAGTAGGTTATAAAATTTAAAGATCTTTTTATATAATTTTAATATCACAAAATCATTTCGGAGACTTTATAGCATGCCTTATAAATACTTTTTTTTGAAGCACGAAAATCGAAAAGAATGAAATTCATGTCCTCGCCTATTCATAGTTTAAGACTAGATTTACGGCATCCCTCAATTTGACGGATACATACATGGGTTCATGTTGAAAAAGTCTGCATGAGGAAGTAGATATATTCAAATGTACTATATATATATAAATATATGTCTACGCTTTTTTCCTGGGACAAGGCCATTTTAAATAAATATATTTATCTTTACTTTGGCAAACTGTTTACAGCAGTTTACAGAGTCATTCTTAGTTTATAAACCTATTATTATTATTATTATTATTACTGTCATTTTCTCTAAGATCGAATTGCAAAAATAATATTTAGAAGGCTGGAATCAGGAAGGCTAGAATATCGAAGCGGGGAAGCCATTCTTAGATAAACCTAACCTTCGCAAAATATCGCCATGTAGTCGTTGCAGTTTTCCCTATCTTAGACCGGGGGATTGCCATAGCTATCTCTCTTTATTGAATCACAACAGTGAACAATTTCTCAGACTTTGAGTCGGACAACATCATCATCAGAAGATCGGGAAATTACAATTAAATAAGTGGAGGAGAGTTTGCAAATGTCCGAGGGATATGGGACATGCCCACATGGGAGCAAAATGCCCATATGTGGAAAAAGGACCCTTCGGCAACACGTTAAGCAATTCAATATTTTCTTATAAGAAAATTTATTAAACTATTTCCTCTATAAGGTATGTTTCTTCAATGTTTTGTCGTTTCACTCTCTCTAACTTCACTTCACTAACTTTCAACTTAAGCCTTAATAGCTGATGAAAAGAAGCTGTGACCTTTAGTATTACGTAACTGGGTGCTTGCTGTGATTCTGTTTGTTCTTACAAGCAAATAATTTCAATTTGTTATAATTTTAGAACACAAGCAAGAGGAAAAATTAAAATTTATTACATTAAGGTGACCAGATGTGTGTGTGTTAGTGGTCAATGCACATTTTGCTATTGCACAATGAGCTCGGAAATGAGAAGCACTTAAGGGTCTCCTTCTTCAAAAAAAAAATTCTCATACCTACTCCTATCCTATTTCATCGGTTGCCACGAGTATAATCGAGCGAGAATGCGGAAAATCTTTAGGTTTTTAAATATAGTTTATAAACATTTAATGAACCATCGAATATAATTAAATCAAATTCATTCATTCATTCATCCATTCATTCATTCATTTATAATAAGAACTCATAAATCAAAGTTGAATGAATGAATGTACGTTACCCACATAATTAAATATGACATTTGATTAAATGTGTACTCAATTAAAAATAATGCATATACATAATTATTTTATATATATTAGGTATTTGCAAAAATTTTGATCAGCGAATTCCATAGATAGGAAATTATAAAGAAATGGGAAATACCAGTGTACATAACGGTACAATTCGATAGTTTTGACTTTCCTCTACCCATTATTTTGATATTATTGAGTTATTCAGCGTATGCCGACACTAATCATGAAGCGCTCAAACATTCTTCTTCTAATCATTGCTTGTGTTGCTTACATGAAAAAAACGGCTGCCAATGCCCATCAAACACGTTCCGAGGTTTATGGTGATGCTGCTTCATTATGGCCCAATTGTCGTTTTTGGGTTCAACGGCGACGCGAAATGTGAGAAAATGTCATTTTTCGACAACTTGTTGTTGCAAGACTTGTCCAGGATACACTGTTGCAGTTCGAATGGGAACTTCGGACACATTCAATGTACTCACCAGGCATGGCGCCTTCTAATTACCACTTGTTCAGATCGGTGCAGCAAAGTTCAAGAAATGCGCAAATGGCTTGATGGGTAGAGCGCTGCCAAATGTTGGCAAAAATATTGTAAAATATTGTGAAAAATGATGGAAACTATTTTGATTAATGGACATTGTACCAATTTTCCAAAATAAATAAATGCCTTTTTCAAATGAAACATATAATGATCAAAATTTTTGCAAATACCTAATAAATTTGTAAGAAGAAGAGACTTAAACATGCCTTGAAATGAAAACCATAAATTTACTAAAAACGGATGTTCCAACGAGGCAAGCAATTCCACTTCTTTTATGACGCCACCCAAAGCACCGCGAGATTCGCAAGCAGAACGGCTGACATATTTCATCGCGTACAAAACGCCACTACCGCGCTTTTGCACTATGCAAACCTGTAAAATGTCAAGCCAGAATTAATGGCAACAAAAAAAAAAAAAAAAAGAAAAGAAAACAAAGAAAAATAATAAAAACAACTGTAGAACAGTTAGTATTAGACTAAATAAACTGGGTTTTTATAGCCTAATAAACAGTGAGCCTTAATAGGATTTCAGTGACTTCTTGAAAACAATAAGCATGCATTCTGTTAGCGCGTTACGGGTATGGGGAACACATACGAAAGGAACTCTGACGAACTGGATGAATTGGCAAAAGATGAAACATTGGACATTGAATTGACGGTTGATTAAGTTACTTGCCTTGCATTATCACGGTAAGAATATATGGATTGATCTATCCTTTTTTAAGAAGCCACATAGGAGGTATCAATACAATGGAACGGATTATCATGAAAAGCTTTTGAAACATGACTTACTTTATCTTTATGTGGTTCGAATGTGGTTCAAGACGAAATACCCGAAATAATTCATGTGATATATGTATATATATATATATATATATATATATAAACTCCTTAGGCTTCGTGGTAAAGGTATATTAAACTTGTATGGATATGCGATGCGTGGCTAAAAAGTTTCCAACCTAAGAAAAAAATAAAACATTCCTTCCTTAATTCTATTTTAACTTCATGAAGGTATTGCGACAGAGCGATACAGTCGGCCCATGATTTTTGAAGGATTTCAATGCCTTTTTTATGAAACGATTTATTTTTTTTGTGACTTTCAAAAAGCACTTGATGACTTTTCGCAACGGGCAGACTATTTGATCCAAAACTTTTTCCTTCTAGTCTTCTTCGAAGATTTGTGAACGGATATTAGTTAGGAAGCCAGGTATGGCGTAGAAAATCGAACTTCAACTTTGCTCTTGTTCAATGCCGTCATCTAACGTACGCTCAGCTTTCTCATGGCTACATCTTGCTTCTATATGTGTTATACTATGCCCATGCGCATGGTATAGACTGGTTTCCTTCAAGTGACTATCTCAAGCCGAATGCGCGTCTTATGGGAGCTTGAAAGTCCGACCGGAGACGTTTATAAATTATTTCTCAATTTTGCTGCTCAATTGCGGTATCACGGACGTCAGGAGCCCCCAAAGCAATTCCTCTAGCTTTCGCCCATAACGGGAGTTTCGTGGTGGCTGTGGTTGGTCCAAAAATCGCGGGAAAAGCTTTTGCTCGGTATGGAGTTACATCGCAACCGGGTGCCTTACCCGCAGAAAGGCAGAGGTTTTAGATGCCTGGTGCCTCGCCCTCACCAGAGGGGAGATGCGACCATAACGTATCTCGTCTGGTACTCGAGAACTTAACATTCCTTATGGCAACGTTTGCGCCGACTTCGGCACCGTAGGTTGCGAGGATTATTAATCTCGGGGAGTTCTAGTGTTTCACACCCCGTGTGCCATCGGGCACCGTGGGGTTAAACTTTCACGATAGTGTACCCATGTTAAACCCTCAGAGACATCTTGCTTCTATATATAAGAGACTTATTGGACATGTCCATAACAGCTGCCAAATTTTAAACTGAAAGGCGATGGCCGTCTAGGAACCTTTGATGAACTTGGACTATGTTTTCGTTGGTGTTTACAGTTTTTGGCCAATCCGAACGGTCATCGTTACTCAAGCGAATACGGTCGAGAGTTGTCAACCACAATATTTAGATCGGCTTTAATCTATGTGCACTGAAGCACTGTGCTTAAAAAGTAATATTTAGGTAGGATAGGTTTTTTCACGACCCCTAAAAACACATCGAATTGCTCAAGCGTTCGTCCATCAACTCCTGGACGTTCAAAATGTATACAATCTTGGTGAGTGCCTATCAACTCGTGCATTAAGATTTTTTCCAGATTTGGAAACATAGTCTTATCATTTTCATGCCTACGTTGGAAACTTTTCAGCCAGCTTATGCATACATAATAATCCAAAGCAACTTAAACGAATTTTTTTAATGCCATTTGATTAAAAATCATAATCCTGATTAAAGCTTGTTTCTCAGTACGTATGAGATATGGGTATGGGTGGGTATGTATATTTGTATTCAACTTATTAGGCCATATCGGCGAAGAATAAGATTATATTCATTTTCCAAACTATCAGTCCGTTTTGTAAAAACCACAAAAAAATCTCGAAAGAAGACGCGTTGTGAGGCGTCTATATTCTTCATCAGTAACAAATTCTGAATCGATGCGTTCGTTTTTCTGATCTAATATCGGCAGAATATAGGTTTTTCAATTCGACACAAAACATTGCTAGTTTTTATGGTATTGGAAATATGCTTAACAATGGACATGATGACACAAACTGACGGAGCATCTGCTTTGAAAAGCAAACAAATAAAAATATTATAATCAGGCCGATCATTAAACATTTTACACCACTTCGTTTAATGTAATTTTTTTCATTTATTTTCCTAATAAAATATCAAAAAAATTATATCTCAACAGCCCATATAAAGGAGGCGGTAAATTACGTTAATTGGACGTGACTCGAATTTGTCAAATTTAATGTTCTCATCAAAAATCTTATTATTCTTTATCTAATTTTTCTTTTATGTCAAATTATTATTACGGATCAATTTTTACGACAACCCACCAATAAAAATTATATCTTCTTGGGCAAATCAGGAGTAAGTTTACATGAGAACTATAATAATTTTAAATTCATTATCCACATGACGTATCCTTCTGAAAGGCTTAATGCATGAAAAAAATTTGCCATCTCTGGGATTTCCCGACCAAAATTTTTTGTTAGAACCATTTCAACATTTTCTAAGCTTAGTCCCCATCCATATCGCTAATATGACAAATTTTTATCAAATTTTTAATTATGGATTGTGGTCGACGATATGGTGTAGAGTATTTAATCAGTCAGTGCTATCCGATTCTAATAATTGTTGTGCATCTACCATCGCTAGCTTAAGTTAGCGCGAGAAAAAGTCTTAAAAAGTAATAATTATTATAGTACCATACACTTCCTCGACTTCTATGGACAAATAGCTTTTATTCATATACACGCATAAATTGATGAAAAAAGAAATAATAATAAAACGTCGTTGTTGAATATTACCAGAAGATAATAAAAAACTTGAAAAGCTGAAAACTGACAAAGATAAGAACTCTGGTTTGTTTATATGTGCGACTTGCTTATATAGATAGCAAGTAGTGTGTGTTCTCTTATAAGAGAAGTGGCGCCTTTAGCTTTAGCTTGTTTCTCAACATAAGCTGAACAGCGTTAAGAAAAAAATGTAAGACCAAGTAATCCTTTATTAGATAAAGTTAGGAAATTTTTGAACGAAATTCGCTTTTCAAGAACATTTATCCTCCCCTCTCCCCCACATTTGTTATTTCCGTTTGACAAATCTGACTTAACTAAAATTAACGGGGTGCGTGTAGTAATTAAGATGGAAAGCTACGAAGAGTGTCAAGTTATAATTAAATTTATCTAGCGAAGGCACAAACCAAACATTTTAATAGAGCCCGGTTAAGCCCATTAACAGAGTGCTGTTAAACGGAGTCTCGGAAGGATTTCAATTAAAATTTAGTTACACCGCTTGGAAGCGCATTGGACCAAGGATTAGTTTAATTTTTTCGCAGCCCTTAGTTCGATCACGGTGACTTTCCAAGCATTGCCGCTATAATAGTTCATATAGAAGAAATTTTCGAATAATTAAAAAATTTCTCCGTAATAAACTTTACAAAAATTACTGATCAACGATTCACTGGATATTAATATCATTTTTTCGCAGCACCTGATTGAGCCACAGTGGTTAAGTAAACTTTCACTTCTGTACTCTCATATTTGACATTGTATAAAATTTATTTCATACCCAATTTTTAACTAATTAACATAAGGACATGTTTTGTTTATAAGATCTTTTAAAAAAATTCTTGTTCTTGTTCTATGTTAACTGCATTTTAATAGATATCCTTCAGATATTTCATTTAACAGGTAAACAGAGGTCTGTGAAAAGTTTTGGTTTGTGCCTTCGCTAGTTAAATTTAAATATAACTTCACATCGCTAAAGCTAAGAGTATAAATTTTTGATGAATTGCACCGATCAGAATTGAAAATCAACAGCTATGTTCAAACTGCATTCGCCAGGAATTTTAATTGATTTCAATTAATTTGGGAACACCGAATATATGGAGAAAAGCATTAGTGAACGGGGCGAGGAATATCCTTTTTTTTTGGATTAATTAATGCTTCGAGGGACATGGAAATTCAAACTTAATTCGTTTTCACATTAACCTATGAGAGACTGACTATGGTTTTCTCTGCTATTGAATATTAAATCGTGTCGATTATCTAGTGCATAAGACGAAAAAGCCAGTTCTTTGCTATAGCGAACCGTCATGCAATAACTCTTTGACAGTTGAGCATTACATTATCATTTTCTCTTTTTCGCGCATTACGCCAGTAATCGATTGAAGCGTTCTTCTCCTACTCCGTCATATTCTTTTTAGGAGGTTGTGTTTTTTTTTGCATAATTTATAAAGCATTTAATTACCTTTCCAAAACTTCCTTTTCCAATTGCTCTTAGGATTTGAAAGTGATCAAAATTGACTGAAATAAATATAAAAAACAAGAATTCGCTTAAAGTTTTCCCCCAAGAAAAAAAAAAAAAAAGAAAAAGAAGGTAATATATCAGGAAGGCAAAGAAGTATACAAATATTTACCGTCATCATTATTATTGTATAGATTTGCATCAGATCGAGTTGATGAGTTAGTGGCGCCCATCCTGTATGATGGAAATAAAGGCCGTGCTCAACTCACGACCTCTTATCCTTGGATGAGCGACGACGCCTTCATATCATAAAATAACATTTATTCTCTTAATGTAGAGGACGATGTACTTTCATATTTTTATTTGTTCTTTAGCATTGTTCGAATATAGAGCCGATACCCTATGTCGCTAGGGCTCAATTCTCTTATTCATTAGTCGGAAAAAAAAAATGATAAGAATAATAATTTGATCGCATTCGTTGATTAGTTAACTTGATAGTTGTTCTTTTGATTTTTGTCCAATTATTCACGAAATATGTATTGATCGAGTTTTGATCTATTACTTGAAAAGTGAAGAGTGATCCTTTTAAAATTATTACTTGAACTCAGCAAAACCTTTTACTCGAGTATGAATTTAAAGTCAATTTGTAATCTTGTATATATATATAAGATACATATATATATATACATATATATACATATATATACATATATATATATATAGGTTTATACTATGATGGCTTCATGGCAAAGATATGCACATCTTGAGGTCACAAATCCATTTGAGCGATAATTTCTCCCCATTTTTCAACTGAGTTAATTGACAACAACTCAGTTTGAACTTATTTTCCCGGTTAAACGTGCCGTTTGCGTACCGTTGTTGTAGTGATTGCAACGGTGATCCTAACTACGTATTTTAACAATTTAAAGACGAACATTCATATGGATGAAGAAGAAGAAGTTATATTTAAATTTAACTAGCAAAGACACAAACCAAAAAAAATATGTTAACTGAGCTCTGTAAGTCTAACTAAGACTTTTTCAAATTTTTTTTTTTTTTTTTAAACATTATAAAGAAAATATGACTTTATGTTAATTAATTAAAACTTCGTATGAAAAGATCTTTTTATTATGTCAAATATAGAACTGAAAAAGTCAAAGTTTACCTAACCACAGCGACCAAATCAAGTGCTACAACCAAACGAAACTTATATCACGTGAACCTTTCATCAATGACCATTCCAACTGTATATGATATTTATGAAGAGTTCTTGAGAAACATTTTTTTTTTTTTGACACTTTGAAATTTTGTTTTATACGAACTAATACAGTGACAAGTCCGATAGGCCATCGTGACCAAATCAAGTGCTACGAGCAAACGAAACCAATATTACGGCAATCTTTAATCAATAGCCTTTTCAATAGTGTATCAATCATACTTATGAAGCTTCGTTGGCAAAAATTTTTTGATGAAAATGTGTTCTATTTACATGTTTACTCACAGCAAGTGATGCCGCCAAACGAAACTAATATCATCTGAATCCTTGATCAGTTACGAATTTTTTCCCAAATGATTACTATGGGAACTATGGGAACTGCCTCGGAACCTCGGAACTGCAACCTAATGTCTTACTTGTTGGCTTTCAAACACACTAACGGATGGTAAGACACGTTAGTATTTCATACGACTGTGGATTATACGTGAGGAGGCCGAGAACGATTCGAAAGACTTCAAGACTTCGGCCGCGATTGGCATGAAGTTTGCTAATATATGAGGTTGAAAGGGGGAGGATACGAAACGACTTGATTTTTACCAAGAAATTAAAAGTTGGCGATGAAGTCGTCAATGTTAATAATGAATTATGGAATTATATATATATTCTTTCCCCGTTCTCTTTGTTATTGCGCAATACGTAAAGCATACAACGAACGCTTCTATCTTCAACACTAGCAAAAGCAACTCGTTTTAGCACAGAATCATGGGATGTGTAGAATAAGCAAGAATATGTGATCTTAAGAAGACATTTTTATGGTCTTTGCAAGCTAATGCTAAAAATTAATAAAAAATTTATTATAATAATGAAAAAAAAAAAAAAAAAAAAAAATGTGCCTAAAAAATTTCGAAACAATTGCAAGAATATTCAGACTTTTCAATCGAATTTGTTGGCTATGCCTTCGACGTGACATTTTCTTAAGCAAAACATGGATAAATAAAACATTATTTATTACCAAACGGCTATCCTTAGTTTTGGCAGAAAATTGATGACAATTTTAAATTTTTCATTTGAATGCTCCCTAATCGAACGGAAATCAAAATGGTTATAAACCTAAGAAGCTATAGACGTGAAGATTATATTAGGTGTTTGCGAAAATTTTGATCAGCGAATTCTACAAGTAGAAATGATAAAGAAGTGGGGAATACCAGTATGCATAACGGTTCAATTCGATGGTTTTAACCTTCCACCTTTTTCCTTTCAATATTATCGCGCACGCCGACACTAACCCTAGAGCGCCCACAAAATTCTTCTTCCAAATTATTCTTGTCATCATTACTTGTGTTATTTATTTGAAGAAATCGGCTGCCCGCTGCCCACCAAACACGTTCAGAGGTTTATATGGTGATGCGGCTCCATTAAATCCCAATTGCGGGTTTTCGCTTCCCCGGCTTAAAAATGGCGGTTTCAATTCAATGAAAATGTCATATTTTTACAAGTTAATCCAGAGAGTGTTGTGCAGCTCGAAAGGAGACGTCTGCCACACTTAATGTACTCACCGGGCCAGGCTTCTCCTGATTACCACTTGTTCAGATCGGTGCAGCATGGTTTGGTCCGCAAAGTTCAAGAAGTAAGACAATGGGTAGGTGGGTGGATCGCCAAACTAAACCATTATAAGTTCTTTCAACAACATGATATCGCCTTGTTGCCAAATATATTGTAAAATCTTGTAGAAACTTATGGAAACTATTTTGATTAATAGAACATTGCACCAATTTTCCAAAATAAATGCATTTGGCAAATGAGAAAAATGATCAACATTCTTGCAAACACATAATACAAATATTTTTTGTTGCCTCAGCTGCACTTGGTCTCGTGATAAGATCTTCACTGTTGCCAGGTTTTCATATTTTTCAAAATAAATTTTCCTTTTAATGACTTTTTCGAATATTATTATTTCATATCTTTTCCATCTCATCGCAAAAAACATTGTCAAAGAAGAAAAAAAAACGCGTCTTTAGAAAGAGCAAAGAAAAGCAAAAAAAAAAAAAACAAATTAAAATAATTGAGAAAAAATTTGGAAATTTTTGGCTTACCTATAACTTTGAGAAAACATTTTAACAAATTTACAATTTTTCAAAAAAAAATTCTATTCATAGCTTAAGCAACTTAACAAATATTGACTTGAAAGTGCAAGAATAATGTGATATTTTTTGAAAAGCCTAAGAGGAAAAGGGCGATGACAACCTTTCATATATAATTAATCAATGTCTATGCAAGACATGCTGATATATAAGAAGTAAGAGAACTTAAAACGAATAACGATTATATGTGCGATCAAGTATAAAGTGTAAGTGCGTGCATATCCCTTGCATCGATTTCCAATTGTATTGCATTCCTGTTACATCCTTCCTGTCTTCTTTCGTAAATTGATTATTTTTTTTTCCATTCAGTTATTGAAATATATTCGCTAAAAACAAAAAAATTGTCATCAATTGTCAGTGACAAGGAATTCTTGCGAACTAAAATTATGATAATAAAAGTTTTAGGAGCTCGTAAGCATAAAAAGCTTATAACTTAGCATATTGTCCTCCCAACCACAAGGGAATGCACAATGCATTTATGATCAGTAAAATATTTATAGCTACTTGTGTATTAAAATAATAAATAATAGTAAAATATTTTATTATTTTCAAAAAAAAAACAAATTAAACAAATTACTTAAAAAAAGAGACAAAACAATCTATAAAATTTTTGTTTAAGCAACAATTTATTCACATAACTGCAATGCTGGATGCACGCTACTAGCGCTTAGCTTTCTAACAAACCCTTTTCGCGATTCAGTTCGTATCGTATGTTGTTTGCTCTCCAGGATTACTAGGGAGAAATTATCTATCGATATGCTATCTAATCTTATTATTAGGCGCGTTTGTGACCCAAAGACTATCGTCTTCTTAATCCCTTTTTTTTTGTTTTTCCTTATCATAAATTCGATCAAACTATCGATTTTACTACTATGGTATGAAACTCTTTCTGCCGCATACATAGACACGTCTTATGCGTATATTTGTACTTTGTAATTAGCAACTGCACGATAGAGTAATGCTGGCAATATTTCATATTATATAAGGTATTATTCTTCTTGCTTTGGTTATTCGATGTGATTGTGTTTTATAAGCCTCACATCACTTGTGATAAATGGATCTCTTAAGTTTTGTGCGGATGTATACAATAGCCTTATGCCTTACACCACTTGTGGTAGGTGGATCTATTAAGTTTTGTGCGGATGTATACAATAGCCTTATGCCTTACACCACTTGTGGTAGGTGGATCTATTAAGTTTTGTGCGGATGTATACCATACCCAGAAGAATTTATTATATTTTACACGTCTGCCCGTCCTTGCGCCTTGTCTTCAATCTCCAGGTCGAAATATATATTTATATATATATTTTGATCAAATTGGGTTCACCGGCGTGTTTTTTGTCCTAAAGGCGAAAGTTATAAAAATTTGTTCCGATCAGACCATTTTTTCGACCATACCTCCAATGCGAGGGCTTCACTTGGCTGTTAAATGAATAACTGTACTAAGCAAAGTTGTCCAGGATATTTAATAGGTGGAACGTGCCCTACTATAATGTCTTTACTTGCCTTGGTACAATAAAATCTTATTAGAATTAACATAAGACATAGCGTAGAATTATGTGGATATTGATTGAATTTTTCAATCATAAGGACACACTTTCTACCAAAAAGAGGGATTAAAGAGATGCAAGTGGAATTAAAAAAATTTCCAAGAACGAATATGTTTCGAAAGTTTTTTGGAAATTTTCAAAATACTTTCTGG